GTTGTACCTTTTTATTTCATGATCTCTCTCCTAGGACTGAATTTCAGAAAAGATAAAAATGAAAGCTCCTTCCTCGCCACTGTCACCTTGCTCCCAGCCTGAAACATAACAGTCCCTGATACCTTAATCAACACCTGTGGGAGAAAAAAAGATGGCGGATAGATAACAGCAGGCTACAGAGACTCTCTGAGATAGTCAACTTAGATTCCAAAAATAATAGTGTGGCGAGTCCTAAACAGAGGGAGATACACCCTTTGGACTCAGGAACAAACTAAGCTGAGAGAAACCAATTAAAAATACAATCCTGGTGCTACGATTGGAACAGCTACAGTCTCAGTGTTGCTGAAGCAAAATTATTGTTTCTTTTATAAAAAGTTGCTTTCATCTTTTGCATAGCACCTAGCTGAAAACATAGTTGTTCATTGTCTTAAGTCAGTGCTATCCAATAGAAATAGAAAATGAGTCACATTTTCAAGTCACATAGAAAGAAGTACAAATAGGTAAAATTAATTCTAATTGTGTTTAATCTCACTTAGTTCAATATAGCAAAACATTAACAAGTAATCAATGTGAATAAATAATTAATTTTTATGTGATTTTAGTTGCATCCAGTCATTGAAATCCAATGCATAGTTTACACTTCAATATATCTCAATCTGGACTAGCCACATCTCAAGTGGTCAAGAGCACTTGTAGTTAATGGATATCATGTTGGATGGAAGATCTAAATGATAACCTGAAGAAAATATATCATGGTAAAAGAAAGAGTTTAGTTTATGATTTGTGTCTGGATGCTCTCCTAAAGCCTCAGGCAGTCGTGGAGATGCTTTTTGGAGGCAGGCTTCTAGAGTTTGTGATTTATTCATGGTCCAATGCTGGGATTATAGGTATGAGTGCTACATTTGCCCTGGGGCAGGTAATATATACACATTATAAGGCACAAAAAGAATTGGTGCTCTTCCCTTTTTTGCTCTTGTTGCTTTTGCTGTCTTCTGCTGCTATGAACAGTTGTCCCTCTGCCACACCATCTTGCCTTGGTGTCAGCTGATTATGGACTAAAATCTCCATAAACTATGAGCTAAATAAATCTTTAAATCTTTTCTTCTTTCATTTGGAGTGTCAGGTATTTTGTCTCAATATTGAAATAGAAGTAACCAACACAGTTGAGTTCTACAAACACTGAGAAAATAGTATAACTTCTGGTGATGACTGTGATAATTTTTGTTAACATAGCAAAGGCAGAGGTTAAGAGGATTTCATAGAAATCAAGAGCAACCATTATTTCTGTGATAAGGAGTAAATGGAGGAGGCCATTTTCAGATTGCTGGGGAAGAGAACAACTTATGGTAGCTATTTTGGATTTCCTATTGCCTTGTTTGGAAGCCCTTTACTGTATTCATTGTTTTGCTTCAATTGGTTCTACTCTGTTCTGTTTTGTTTGATTTTTACTATGTCTGAAGTTATCTGTAACTAGAATTTGAGATTCCATTTGACCCAGCTATCCCACTGCTGGATGTTTTCCCAGAATGGAAAACATCATACCACAGTGATATATGTGCACCCATGTTTATAGCAACACAATTTGTAATAGCCAGATCTTGGAAACAACCAAGTGTCCATCAATCAAGGAACAGATAAAAAAGATGTGGTATTTTTATACAATGGAGTATTACTCAGCTATAAAGAAAGATTGCAACAAGACTTTTATAAGTAAATGGACATGACTTCAGAGCATACTTATAAGTAAAATAGAAGCTGGGGATTTAGCTCAGTGGCATAATTGCCTGCCTGGCAAGCTAGAGGTCATGAGTTCAATCTCTGGTACCAAAAAAAAAAAAAAAAAAAAAAAGAAATCATTTCACATGTATTGTATTGTCTCTCTAGTGTAAGAAACTGAAAAAGTATATGTAGTCCAAAATCTACAATAAATACAATCAGGGTAAGAAACTGCTCCAAGAAGAAAAGTAATTGGGATAGGGAAAGGAGAAAAAGAAGGGAAAAGGAAAATACATAAATTTATATTATATATATATGATAGCTACAATGACTATACTACTAATGTATTGGCTATTGGAAAAGAACAGTTAATATTCATATGACCAGATCAATTTTAAATGTCTATATCTGTTAATCTAAGCAACCCTTTTGAAGGTAACAATATGCAATATTACAACCACTGTCAAATTCCTATCATCTTGTTTTGTAAACCTATACTGTTATTGTATTAGGTTTGTTGTTTGTTTGTCTCTTTTGCTTTCTTTCTTTTTCTCTGTTCTTTTTTCTCTTAAATTAAAAAAAAAAAGAAAAAAAAAAAAAAAGAAAACCCAGTTAGAGCCACAGACTAAATGAAGATGTTTAGATTGATAAAACTGACTTTTCCCAGCAGATATAGTCCCAGCAGGAAACAAGAGGCCAGCACAGAGCGGGTAAAACTCTGGGTGATTCTTGATTAACAGCCAAGGTAAAGAATACCCAGAAAGAAGCCAAGTGACAGGATGTAGGGAAATTCGTAGGGCAGTATAGGATGAAAAATCATTGCAAAACCATCCTTCAGTCTTAATTAAAAAAGAAGCAGGAAAACATGAATTTAAAAGATAACTTGTCATAACAAGGACTTCTTGTATTTTTCCCCCCAACTATTTGTTCAGTATTTCATTGCTTACTTTAAAGGATGGGCAGATGGGGAATGTGTCCAATGGAAAATTGCCTTTAAATTTTTACACGGTTTTGAACAAAGGGCGTGGAGAACAGCAGTGGCTTTAAAGCCCTCCAAATGGTACTGGCCTACACACTTGTCCAATTTTTTTTCCTCCTTGAGGCCTATTCAATTGTAGCACAAAGCATCTGTATTCAGTGTCCAATTATTTGAAAAAAAAAATAAGGGCACTTTAGCTTTTCCTCACTGAACTAGCTTGAAGATAATAAAGTCACAAGTTAGAATTAATAATTATCAACTCACTCAGTCTTGATAATAATTACAATAATTATTTGCACATTTGAGATTTACTTTGGGTTGTATTTGGCAAGTGTGGGACGAGAGGGTGTGGAATTCATTCAGCAACAAAAGTCCCTTGAAATTCCCTGCAGTTTCACAAAAAGTTCAGAATTGAGACATGAACAAATGTTTGTGAAATATTCAGAAGACAACACCTAGAATACTTCTGAAAATGAGTAAGTTGGATATTTTGTTTCATTCTTGAGGAAATTTGACAGATGCATATGACAAGTTAGACTTGTTTCAAATATTTTATTTATAAAATTTTATTCTACTTTTTCTTATCTCTCACAGACCATCGTAGAGACTTGCTCTGTGGACATTCTATCCTTTCTACATCCACACACATTTTAAAAGTTGAGAACTAATTGAAGATGTAATGCAAGACACAGGATAATAGATGCTTTCAAATAAGATATAGAATATATTAAGTTTTGCTGGTGTGACAAACTACTCAACAATCTTGTTAGAAACTTGTTAGAAAGAAGTTATGCATTTTTGCTTAAGATAAAACAGCTTTTACTATTCACACATCGACAGTGTCTTTTTGTCTCAGGAAGTACCAAAGTCAAAGGATAAATTGCATAACTCAAATATTAGTATTTTGACAATACCAATTGTCAAAAATTAACGGTTCTAAATGTCAGATTTGTTTGTCTCAAATCATTGTGTTGTGATTTAATCATAGATTAAATGTAGGTTATTTAAATAAAAATACATGGAGAAATATCAAGCTTTAAAATAGAAGTCTCTGTTTTGTTTTAAAAAAATAAAACAGCTGAAATTGTTTAGGTCAGATGCCTTGCCTTTCCAATAAGAGAAAGAAGTCTTGTTTTATGCAATGCCTTCTTAGTGTGGGATTAATAAGTGTGAGCTTCGATTTGTTATCACCATCCACATGTATAATTTCATTCAATGTCATTAACACTAATTTGCATGCAGACTGTTTTACACTGTAAATCTAAACTTATATAACAGTCTTTATTATATTGATTTTAACTGAGTCATAGTGTTATTTAGACTTGCAATTTTTTTTTTGTCTTTTTCCTTTTTATTGGTACCGGGGATCAAACTCAGGACTGCATGTTTTTAAGGCAGGCGTTTATGCCGCTGAGCTAAACCTCCAGCCCCTAGACTTGCAATTCTTTAAAGGGATCCACCATGAACTCTGAAGAAACTAACACAGATTCTGCATGTACCACTTTCTGGAGAGTTGTGCCCACCATTCATTAGGTTATCTTGTTAAAGCGACACCCATGTATCGCATTGCACGCAGGACTTCGCAAAAGATGTTTACTATAATATTAAGCAAAATAAGGAACTCTTTCTGGCAAACAATAAGCCACTGTTCAAGTCATTGCTAGTGTTTTGCTTCATTTTAGATTAAAATTAACAAAGTGTTTCACATTGTGGCTTTAATCTTATCAGAGACTCCTAAAACGAACAATAACACAGTATGAGAGTATTCTTGATCGTGTAACTTCTGCTCTTACCTACTTGGAATTAACAAATGTCATTTTCTTACAAACCCACTCTCAAATAGCCACGACTACCTATACTCATCAGCCGAGTTTTCAACATAGCACCCGCAAATCATAAACTTTTATTTTATTGGTGGAAGTGATACGATTTGACAAAGTACATTCATCTGACATATCTGCCCTTATCACATTTTGTTATTTTATTTCCCAAGTGTCACAATGAAAAATAAACATAGATTCCCTTCCCCCCCAAAATCCTTGAACATTCGATGCAGTAGAAAGTTCGGAAACGCCGCCGGGGTTCGGGGCTCCACAGTAACAGAGACCCCGGCTTTCCGGCGGTCTCCGCCCGCGCCCACCCGGGCGTCTGGGCAGCCAGCGCGGCCCCGCGCACGCGCGCTCCCGGAGGCCGGCGCCCCCCGGCGGAGCTCGACGCCGCCTGCCGGACGGTCTGCGGGCGGCGGCGCGGGGGGCGGGCTCGGGGGCGGGAGGAGGCGGCGCGGCCCGCCCCCGGCGCGGTACACAGCGGGGCGCCCACGTGCCCTCCCGCTTTCCGCGGCGCGGCGCCGGCGCTCCTCTCCGCGCGGACGCCGAGGCTCCGGGACCGTCTCCGCCTCTAGACCCCGGACCGCCGCGCTCGGCCGTCCCCGCGGCCCCGGCGCCATCGCAGCGCGGCCCCGTAAGTTGCCAAGTCCCCGGCGGCGCGCAGGGCCCGAGGCGAGGGGCGCGCCCCGCTGCGAGCGGCTGCCCCGGCCGGGTCGGGCTCGGCTGGCCCCTTCGCCAGTGCGCCCGGCTCGGAAGGCTGCTCCGGACCGGCGGTCGGGGGCGCACCCCGCGCGGGGACTCAGTGGCGACCTGCCTCTGGTCGGACTGGTTTCGGGGGGCCCTGGGCGCCTCTCCCCGAAGCCCCGGACGCTGCCTGCCGAGGGCACGCGGAGTCGCCTGCTGCGCCCCAGGTTCTCAGCTTAAATCCCGAAGGCTTTCATACCTTGCCAGGGACCTGTGGGGCAGGTATAATGGCCCTCGTGGTGTCCGCACTGTTTCGAAGTCCACGAGTGTCGTTTTAAACGCGTTTGTGACGGGCTGTAGCTTGCAAGCGCATTTCGTGACGCCTCAGCCCTGAACCCAGAGTGCCCTTGATCTTGAAGTTTAGGAAATCCCGCTGAGCCCCTTTTCTTTTTGGGTGTATCCGAAGTAGTAAGAGATTGTACCGTAATTATTTCAAAGAAATACACTCAGCAAGTTAGGAACGTTGTATAGCTTTGAAACTATCTAGATTTCAACAGTAAAAAAGTTCATCTTATTTAAACTTTAAAGCTGCCTAAAGGTGCATTGAAGTGACTCATTTTGGACTGATGATGAGATTGACCGAGATATTTGTACAGAAACATGAAACCTTTTAATAGCGGGCTATCCCAGATCTTATTTTAGTAGAGCTATCTGGACCCAGGAAGGATTCGGGCTGAGAGATGAAGCGTATGTGGCTTCTGGCCTGATAGCTTTTCATTCTTGCTTGAGCCAATCTCTTAATAATAATTATCACCTTAGGAAAGTGAAATATTGTGTGTTGTCTTTCTTTAGAGAATACACAGAATAGGAATATTCTGTTACCGACATACTTTATGATTACTTTGTGATGTTAAATCTTTGTTTTCTTCTAATCACACTAAAGCTTACCATGAAGAAATGATCTCAGTACAGAACATATGAAAACAATTTTGTTCTTCCTTGTGCAAAGAGTTACTAGTTGGTTGTTCCAAGGTGAATGAGAAAGACCCTGTAGTATGGAGTATGCGTTTCAGGTTTTTTCTCTTGCTTCTCACTTGAGTTCCACATTGTGCCTTGACTTTTGAATGTCATTACCTTAAGGTATTTAATCTTTTGAGAATGCCACGACTTTGGAGGTCACACTAAAGCTGTGTGGCATCTGGAGACTCACTTTGCAGAATCCTTCATGTCTTTAGCTTGTTTGCGAGTCCTTTTGATCCCAGAGTCCCCACTCGCAGTTATTACCCCTGGACATAAGAATTAGGAGCCATATAGGAGTCTAGAAGCGGAGAGGCAGACCTGGTATTTCTGATCATGTAGAGTCCAAGAATACTCTGGGGTTTTCCTTCTTGTATTCCCATCTAGTTTTGCTACTGGAATATGTGTATCTGAAGAATTTTCCTTTTTTTTCTCCCACCAGAAACACTCAGCTAGTAGTTCCTGCTTCTGTGCTAGATGGCTCTCGGCTCACCTTCTGTTCTCTTCACCTGTGTCCCACTCTGAGTCATTCTTTGCTTCTGCTGGCTCTTCTGACCAGACAAGGAGCCATCAGAGGCCGTTTTTTATTTTTTGACCCTACTTTTTGAAATGGTTTTCCCACATAGTTTTTCTCTGGTGATTTCTCTATTTAACCTAGTTAATGTGCTCCTTTCTGTTTAGTTTACATGTGTCCCCTGATGTGTGTGCATGTTCAAAATCATCTGCTGTTTTTATTTTGGTGAATGCTATTGACTTCAACAATTGGATCTGTTTTCAAATATCTTTATTCTTTCATTGAAAACCTACTCTGTTTCAGACTCTAGGTAACCCCAAAGGTAACCCAAAGCTCTGGTTTTGGAGGGATTTTATAATTATTTTCACACTTGGGAAATTCTCCATTAATGGATTTTATTTTTTATTTCTGGTGCTGGGAATCAAACACAGGACCTTGTGCTTGCCAGGCAGGTATTATACAGTACTACAGTTCTTCCATTGAAACTAACTTTTTGTTGCAGTCGATCTGTGTAAGAAAACACCACCTCTCAATAGATGTGCAGCACTGTGTGTGCCAGAAAGCACATGGTTAACGCACTTTGTACCACATGTGAAGAACATGCCATTGTTTCATATTCGAAAGCACATGTGCTTGGCCTCATCATTTTGCTGGTAGTAGTGAATTTATCCTTACTCCTCCTGTGTTCCCTTTTACTTGCCTTTGTGGCTATTTTTTTTTTTGAAGTAGTGGTTATAGCTATAGAAGTGTTATGGGTACCACTGGCCAAGATAAGCCAAACCAAACAAAACCGGACCAGTCCAACGCTATATTCATTTCTGAGAGACAGCAATGAATCAAAATGATTACAGCATGACTCATCTATTAAGGATTTTTGTTTTTTGCCTCACCTTTGTAAACTGTTATGTGCAGTAATACCAAGTTTCACGGATGCTTCTGTTCACAAGCAATTCAGTTCGGGAATGGAAGCATTTGGCAAAATTTTGCCTGCATTCGAGAACTTGACATCCTTGGTGACAAGTAGGACAGCAGGCTGCCTTCCCCACAGGACTGTGACCGCAGCCCTGTTGTCTTTCCCAGTTCAGCACGAGTTCAGGTCATGAACCGAGGCAGCCTCTGCTGTCCGTAGAGGTGAGTACTGTACACTGCCGCTTTTTACAGGGACTCTTAAACTTCAGTCTGAGAAGGATTTCTGCTGCATTGTAGTAACTTTCTTGCTGGTAAGTGTGATTAATAGTAACTGAAGGAAAGATTTAGTTAATATGGCTTTCAAATGGCTTGTTTTCAATAGATGGGCATGTCTCTTCTGTTCTTCAACTTTTAGCGTGTATTTCCGTCCTCTCAGAGATCTGTGACTAGGTGTTTTCCTGGGTACCCTATTGAAAATAGTGGGTTTTCTCAACAGAGGACTTAGTCACCTGAGATTGATCATGTGTTTGTTTAATGCCATGTCTCTGTCCCCCTGAGAAATAAACTGCTAAAATTCAATAAAAAATGAAAACTTATACCTGCAACACCCTAAAAGAACAGAATAATGTTGCCATGCTCTAGCATCTCTTTTCAGGATTGAGCTGATACAGGGAATCAGGAGTCTTCAATAAAAGCCTTACATTCATTGTTGAAATATTGGTGAACAATAAATACACACCAAGGAATTTTTATGCCTCTTGTTGATTCTTAACTAGTTTTTTCCACAATTGTGGGAAAATCTTCTTTTTTCCTTAATCCTTGCTGACTTCATCATAGCTCCCAGGACTTCGTATAGTTTCATCTAATACAACACTCTTCTACTGCCAAAGCTCCCTTCCTTCCGGTGGAAACCTAGTGATCACAGTGCATAGAGCTTGATATTACCAAGGATGCTTAATAATAATGCAAATTTAGAGCTCACTTTTTAGTCATTTTACTTCTGTGTGGACAGGAAATGTTGCATGAGTTGACACCGTGATCATAATTAGAAGATAAAGATTGGTTGGGATCTTTTCTTAGTCTGGCTTTGATACCTGCCTGTCAGGTTAGCAAATAATGATGAGAATGATGATAATCACTACTGGAATTAACAATTACATATTTTATATTGAACCAGACAGTTCTAATTTTCACCATTAGTTATTCATGTAATGTGAACTGGGGGCAGATTTTCTGAATGCAATATTAATTTTTACTTTTTAAAAATCACTTTATATGTTTCCTAGAACTTGAAATATAGTTGAGTGATGGGAAATCATTTATATATTACATACATTATTTGTTTTACCAAGACATGTGGATCCTTTGGGCTATATTTCCTGTGCCTACTATTCATAATCTGGTCTCTTTCTTTTTTTTCCAAATTCCCTTAAAACATCTTTTTAATACAAACAGAAGAAAGAATGACAGTTACTCATACTATCAAGCTTTAGATGTAGGAAATAAATTTCAAAGATACACACACGTACTCTTCTAATCATTCTCCTAAAGATGACCCACAATTTTTTCAGTTTTTTTATTAGTACATAATGTTTACATTCATCTCGGGGGGGTAAGTACATTAAATTTCTAGTCAGTAGATGAAGAACCCAAGATCACAGTGGCTATTGCGTGTAGTGATGACTTTCTTGGTATTTGAAAGGGGTTTATGGATATTTTGTGATACAGGCATAATTTAACCCCTTTCACTTTGTCATAAAAAAAAGAGTGAACCTATGTACATGTAATCTGCCTCAACTCCATACAGTTTTATGTAAGATTTCTGGAAGTTCAAGATGCCCTGAATTCCAGCCAGTGTGAACAGATAGCGTTTCAGGAAAGCGGAGTAAGAATCCTGCAGTACAGAAGCCATTCCAATGGAAATATGTCTTAGGAGAGAATTCTTTGGGACAGGATGGGGCCTTCTTGGTCCTATAAATCCTCCCTTGCTGATTTAAGATTGCTTGTGGCCTCCAAGCTAGGGCTGGAAGTTGGTAGGAGATGAGTGTGCCAGAGGGGGGCACTGTGTGAGTCAGAGCACTATGGATGACCATCCCAATTTACGCCATTATGGAAGTAGTTCTCCTAGTCTTCGTGGACTCTGGGCCTTCATCTCCAGCATCACCATCTTTCTTTCAATTTTCTCAAATGCACAGATTTCCACATGGCTTCTGGACACACGGCTCCAAGAAATAAATGTGATTCTGAGAATGAGTGAAGATAATCTCAATTATTTATAAATGTATCCATAGATGGGAAGAAAAAATGGATAAGAATAGTCAGTATTGGTCTAGGGAAGTGTTGGTGAACCTTTCAGAGCTTTCAGTGATACAGATCGCCCACTGCATCAGGCTGCCCGTGGGTTTGCCACCACTGGTTTAGTGGTAGAAAGCTTAGTGATAGAACACTTACTTGCTGTGTTCAAGAACCTGGTTCACATCTGTTGCACCACACACACACATACACACACA